GTAGATCCTGGCAAACTTGCATGTGGTGTTATTTCTGTTCCTGTGACAGAAATCAACAGGAATCTGGATGTCATTATTTCTCATCATGGAACAAATTACGATTAAAGCTTGGCTGTTTAGATGCAAATGAACATCAACAGAACTAATTATCTCTTCTCCCCTCTCTTCCCTTCCCTCCACCCCCTCCCCAGAGTACCTCAGACTGATTTCTGTGGAATTAAATTTCAAGGAGTTGTAGAAAGATGTTCGGTTTTTTTTTTTTGTTTTTTTTTTTTTCCCCCAACTACTTGACCCAGTGGCCTTAATAGCAAGTTAAATACTGAACAGGTTCCTCAAGTCCATTATTGTATACAAGTACCTTGGGGATAATAAGCATACACTCAGCAGGCAGCAAAATGAAAATAAAATCTGTTTATGGAATTATTATTTATATCTAAGGGTAGTGAAATTTCTGCCAGACAAGGAGCACAGCGAAACTGTATCTGCCAGTTATATTACTGTTAATGTTCTTTAATTTAGCAGACAGGATAGTTGGGCTGTAATTAAGCTCTTCTAATACTGTTGTTCCCAAAGCTTGTGGCATACATCATTTTACACTGTAATTTCCTGCATCTTCTTTACCTCCATTTTTCCTGTATAATTCTTCCATAAACAATTTCAGGAATGCATGCTGTAAATTACTTATTGTGTACATTATGCAATTTTGCGTATATGTAATCAATTTACTTTTTCTGATCCTTTTTTCTCATTTTCTTGGTGCTATTTTTTTCTTCTACACACATGGCCTTCCTGCTGTGCTAATGAATGTTTTATCCAAAAGTAATTCTCAAGGCATTTTCTGTCATCCATATGAGTCTTTATTTAGGCAGATCTGGCAAACTTGACAGTGTTGCTGAAAGACAGGAGACAATGGTCACAGACCAAATGTATGAAATTCCACTTAAACATAAGAAAAAGTTTTTCTACCGTGACTGCTGTCAACAGTCAACAACCTGTTGGAGCAGGTTGCTTGTAGAGGTTGCGGAATCTCCAGCTTTGGAGATGCTCAAAGCTTGGTCCTTAGCAACCTGCTCTAGTTGACCCTGCCCCTGAGAAGGGGGTTGGAGTGGGTGGTCTTCAGGAGTTTCTTCTTATCTCATCCTGTGACGCCATGAAACAATCAGATACAGCTATAAGTCAAAGTGAAGATAACCATCATTTGTGATTTCATTCCGTTGGGGTCTAATCCCAGCAGCCAGCTGTGTTGAGATAACTCTCTCCCCAAGTAGGGTAGAGGAGAGAATTGGAAAAGTGAAGTATGAAAACTGACGAGTTTAGATTAAGGCATTTGACTAGGTAAAATGAAGGCGGCATGGACAAGGAAAGCAAAACAAGGAGCTCCTTTGCTACATTTCCATCAGCTGTAAGATGTTTACCCGCTTCTAGGCAGAGTTCACCACTCATAACGGTTAATGATAAATGTTATTACTCAGAATGTTGCTCCCTTTCTTCTTTTTTCCACTGGCTTTTCTTACTGAGCATGGCGCCGTTATAGTATGGGGCATCCCTTTGGCCAGTCTGCATCAGCTGTCCTGGTTCTGTCCTCACCCCTCTCCTTGTGCACCCCCAGCCTTGGTTCTCTATAAGCACTACTCTGCAACAGCTTAAAATATTAGTGTGTTATCATCACTGTTTTCATCAAAAATCCAAAGCACAGCATCGTGTAAGCCTCTGTGAAGGAAGGAAATTAACTCCATATCAACCAAAACAACGATGCTTTCTACAGTAACCCCTTGTCATTCCCTTCTGGTTATCATTTTATCTTTTTCCATCCAAAACCAGTAAGTTTCAGACTCTACTTAATTGGGTATTAAAGATACTTTCCCTGCACAGTTGCATATATATTTAATTTACCTGTTTGGCCTTTTGTAGGACTGAAAAAAGGTGTTTTCAAAACTAGTTACATAAAGAAGTTTTAATTATAGTGTTTTACTTGGAAGAAAATATGTTTTCCCAGATCATTCCTATGGGCTTTAAGGTAGCATAAAAAGTTGTAGCTTTAAACTGTAAACTGTGCATTTTGGATCTGACTCAGTTGGAATGAATGATTTAGAGGATATTTGAATTTTCTGGTTTTGATTTTTAAAGCAAACCAAGGAAATCTAGCCATTTACATAACTTTTCACTCAATTTTTAATAAACAGATGACAGATATTTGCAAAACTGTTAACTTACTAGGAAAGAAGCCTTGTTGAACACAGTGGGAGCAGTGGAAGTCTGAGTGCAAGCATGTTGAGATAGAATAAATGTGAAGCCTGTTCCCAAGTATTCTTTTCTGTATCTAATTGTGTATTCGATATACACTGCGTAGGCTTCCATTCTCCTTAATCCTTGTTACGGGTTTGCCATTTGATTTAAGAAATTGTGCTCTCTATGGCAGCAAGGCTTTTATTAGTGTGTTGGAATATTTTATGGTCATAGTAAAAGAGCTGTAAGTGCTCTATGCTAGTTCAGTTATTTTAACAAGTGTTTGTATGACTGTTTGTGCTGTGAGATCTGACCTGTTAGCTCCTGTGATTACTGAACTTACACAAAGTGTTTTCCACTTAAAAAGAAATTGGGGGTGTGTAAGTCTTTGTGATACCTAATGGTATCATCTCTGTATTGTTTTACATGCAACTTCTTTTTAAAAACAAAACAAAAAAACAACAGAAAATTGTTCATACTACAGCAGAGTAATTTGAACCACAGCATCAATACTTGAGATTTTGTTAATCCAAAATATTTAAATACCAAATTAAAGAGAGGCAGACTACCCTATAATGTAATGAAGAATGTCTGTTGAGTCTAAAGGTTACAATACAGGCATGCATCGACTGGGACCATGTACATTTTATTATCCTTTGCTTAAAGGTAGTGAGACTTTGTACCATTCTGATCTCATTGTGAAAGAAATCATTGGAGTGCTGCAGGCCCCTTTCTGTGTACCTATATTGTGCACTGCTATTGTGTTGGTCTACAGCTGAAACCGTGTTTAGCCATTCCTTCTTTTTTAGGAAGAGAACTTGGTGTTTTATGTAGGGAAAACTCTCCTCATTTGTCCATTGTGTTCTGATATTTTCTGAGAGTTGTTGGTTGTGCAGTTCATCATGCATTTAATATAGTAGCATACCAATACCTTTCCCACGGTGTCAGTTCACCAGCTATCCATGCAAGAAGAGAGTGGCATGTTCTTTGCTGTATCACTCTGCTTACTTAGGATCCTTATCTGATTCATCTTAATTTTAACATTAACACTTTGCACTGCTTCATATAAGTAAAGTTTGTCGTGATTTGAAAAACAGAAAAAAGGAATTGTTTAGGTCGTGATTGTGGTGTTTTGATCATGATTGAGTGAAATAAGTTCAGAATATCTAGTGGTAAGATAGTTTCTCAAAAGATTAAATTCTGGCAGGGAGCATATTATAACTCACCTGTACTTTGTATCAGGTCCTGTTTTATAAGTAAGTCTTTTTTTGTTTTTTTTTTTCACCTTCTGAAATTGACAGAGATATATTTACTACTACCATTGTTTAAAAAACTGCCTGAGATGACATTTCTAAACTAATCAAAAAGTCTCTGTTCTTATAATAAATGAATAAAATGAAAAAAAAAAAATCGTAGTGACTGATAATGGGAACTTGTGCGTATGCGTGCATGTTACACAGAGTATAGTAAAAGGAAATTGACTTCGAAGTACTGATTATTTTACATAAATTTTCCATATACTTCTCACGATTTTCCATCTTCGTCCTTGTCTATTCCACAAAACATTTCAGAATTAAAGCAGCTGAATTAAAGATGGAGCTCTGTTCCTTAGAATGTTCTTTCAGGTATTTATGAATATAAAGTACTGCATGTATTTGCTGCTATTAAATCTTTTGGATTTCCTGGAGGAAATTTGATTAAATTTAGCGTAAAAGACACATTTTACAATTAACGTTGCTTTCCTCCATTTTTTTTTTTTTAAGTGTGAGCTGTAGTTATTTTTTACAAGAAGGAGGCTTTTTTTTAACACATTCTATTAAATTATAAATATTGTTATATTTAAGTTTAGCTGGCTTCACTATTTAATCAAAATGGAGTTGGAAAGTTTTCTGTGTTGTATTAATTTTGTCTTTGGAAGAATGGATGAGAGAATGTGTAAGTTAAATATACTGATATCTGTTGCTTAGAAAATATTTCTTACAAAAAAAATACATTTGTTTAGCATGCCTTCCTCCTCCTTTAAAACTACTGCTAAGATTCATCTTTGAGATTATTAATGCCAGTGATGTAACAGAGTACCAGTATAATGGTGACTGTCTTGTATGTGGTCTTCTGTGAACAGTATTAAAGCAGCCTTGTCACCTTCTCCTCATTCTCTCCTTTCATCCATTACGTGTAGTTATGTTTTGAAAATTACAGCTTAAGTTCCCTTTTTCATGTTTGTTTGTTTTTTTTCACTGTTCATGTATGAGTATTGAAAAGCAGTCCTTGACTCTGAAGAATTGCACTCTCATCCTTTGGGAAGATTCAAATGAACTCTCTGTGTATGGTGCCTGTTTTCACTTCTCCTGAAAAGACTGCGTTTCTTAACTTAGAAGTATGTTTCATCTGTTTAACCATTGAAAGGCTGAAGAGAATAATGGAAGCAATAGTATTTCTCTTGTACTTTGTGTTCTTGTGTTCTTGTTCCTTAGGTTGAGTGAGATACTGTTCAGAATTGAAGCAGTTCCAAAACACAAAAAACCTCAAAACATTTTCTAAAAGATATTTTGAAAATTAAGTTCTTGTTAAATAATCACATAAAACAAAATTCTGTCTCTTCTGTCTCTGTATCAAGGAGACTTTTCCTTTCTTCTGTCTTTTGTTGAAAATACAGCTTGTGCTTTTCACGTAAATGAACTTATCTATTTTGGTTTTTGTTTTGTTTTGTTTTTTAAATTTTTTTTTATACAGAATGTAGCAATGCTTCATAGCTTCTATGGTTTGTATTTCAGGAAGAACAGAACCGAGGCAAGCCCAACTGGGAACACCTGAATGAAGATTTGCATGTACTAATCACTGTGGAGGATGCTCAGAACAGAGCAGAAATAAAACTGAAGAGGGCTGTTGAAGAAGTGAAAAAATTACTGATACCTGCAGTAAGTATTTGTGTATGCAAGTCTTTGATTTACATTTCCAGGAGTTATTTCTGAAAAATAATTATTGTTTAGCAGTAACAGAAAACCTACCGAGCAATACCCTAAAGTAAAATTTAGGTATTATTTTCTAATACTGTAATGATCTTTAAAAGTCTCACCCCGATCAAATTATTGCATGGGTAAGAATGATTCTTTTAAAAGATGTTAATTTTTCTAGCTGTTCAAGATACACATATAGAAAATTCTTGTAACCTTTGTAAAACCACACTGAGCTGCTGCAAACATTAGATTTCTTATCTTCTTTCAATATAAGGATGTTTTGCTTTAAGGCTTTGAAAGTAAGATGTGCTTTTGTTTGTTTGAGATGATTCTGATACTTCAAGAAAAGAAGGCATGCCTTCTCAGATCACTGTATTAAACACCTTCCAAAAAGAATAAAACCCCTCCAGAATACAGTATTACAACGTTGCCATAACTGATAGTAAGGAAAAAATAAATATTCTAGAGCTAGAAAATGGTCTGTCTTCTTTATTCCCTGAAAATATTAACTGCCTTCTGCCTAGCTAGATGACTTTAACTTTTGAAAGTTGAAAAAGTTGAAAACCTTAAAAGGTTTTAACTTTTTCAGGGAACAGAATTATCATTCTCAGGCCTGCTCTGTATTCTCACTCAAGACAAGATGACTCAGCATGGCAGTATAGTGCGTTCCATGCAAGTTTATTTCATCTTGTACTGATTTTTACCACCACTTTAGTGTCATTTTATCATGATAAAAATAAATGGAATCTTTTTAATTGGAGGAAATTTTTGCCTCATGAGGAAAAAATGAGTTCATCGTGTGAAGGAGAGTGATACTTGGTATTAAAATGACCAAACAATTTTGGGTGCTTGGTGAATGTTAGTAGAGGCTGGCTGTGAGGAAGCTTGTGGTAAGCAGAAGCCATATAAAAAAAATATATCAGAACACATGTTTAGAAGTTACCAAAGGTCAGGGAAGAACCTTAATTTTTCAATTAACAAAATATAGATCTTCAGAATCTATCTATCCATTTAGTGAAGAGATATACAGCATTAGGATTGATGTGGTATATACTTGCTTTTTGCTACAGCCTAGCGTGCCTGTTCAGTTGGTATTGTAATCAGCTGCACAATTAATGGGTTCAGGCAATTTGAGGGTTGAAAAGTTCTGTTTTAGGATGGAAAAATGTGAATTGAAAACTTACATGAAAGAAACCAGAAACCTTTTAAGTAATCACACCAAACAGAAGAAGGAAGAAATCCTAGCTAACTCTACGGTGGGGCAAATTCTGGCTATTGGAAGGTTCCAAACATTCTTTAAGAGATATGAATAGAAAACTGGAAATTTATAGAACATCTGCAACTGTATTGTTTTCCAAAAAATGTCAGAGGATTAAAATTGATTCCAGAAAAAAAAAAAAAAAAAAGATTTTTTTCATCCAACCGGGTTGAAATTTGAGATTATGTGGGAGATAAACTAAATCTCATTCTTACTGTGAATTGACAGTGTTTTCATTTTCTAAGATACATTTTAGAAAAGCACGTTTGTGGTAGATATGATTTCTTCAAAAAATCTGTTATGGTCAATATATAAAAAAAAAAAAAACTAGTTCCATTTTGTAGTGACAGTACAGATATAGGCATATTAAAACAGATTTTCATTTGAAAGTACTTGGGGGAAAAAAGGCTTCTTCAGTAGTAAAAAGTATTACTTCTCATATTTAAAAATCTGAATTGCTACTGATGTTTTTCCTTGTGGATGGGATTTTATTATTTCTCCTTTTCACAATTTATCTTAAGAAATAAAAAGGATAGCTTCAGATAAATTGGCTGAAGAAGCCATTTTTCTCCATTATGAGAAAGGAGGAGAAAGGCCAACATTTTTATTTTTTCCAGTAAATTTACATTTCTTTGGAATGAAAATTGATACTTATTTGCTGTACTTCAAGTTCTGTAAAAACTAATTCTTTTCCTTTTTCCATACTTCAGTGAGATATTGGTCATTATCTGTACCTGCAAGATCTTACAGTATTGCTTCTTTCATGTTTTTCTCCAAAGAAAAACAGGAAGAATAAAGCAGTGTGCAGTCTTTGGGGAACACATTGACCTGTTTTGTCCTTATGTCCCTTTCTAAAGTGGATCCTACAGGTTATCGATTTTTCCTCTCCTCATTTTTAGAACTTTGAGTGTTTATTTGTTATTTGCACGAGTTCAGTAAAGATGGGTAGTTCTTTCAAACGATAGACAAAAGATAGTCTGGGTTGTATAATTGTAGAAAGTACAAAAAAAGTGCAGAGTTGTGTCTTACATAAGGGGGACAGATGTCATACTTCATCTGTGTATCTCAGGTGATTATATTGTATTAAAAATGTGAAATGATTATTTTGGGTGCTGGGCAGTACAGCTAAGACCCTCTCCTTCAGGATTATTTTGTGTTCTGCAGTGCATTGAATAAACTATACAGCTAGGCGAAAACATAAAGTGATAGGTGAACAATTGGCTGATGGTTCAGGCTCAAAGATTTTCAGTAAATGAGGTTATGTCAAGCTGGTGGCCGGTCACTAGTGGGGCTCCACAGGACTCAGCAGTGTGTCTTGGCGGCCCAAAGGGCCAACTGTACCCTGGGGTACGTCAGGCCCAGCACTGCCAGCCAGGAGAGGGAAGAGGTTTATCCCACTGTGTTCTGTGCTGTGCAGCCTCACCTCCAGCACTGTGTGTACGCGCCACAACATAAGGATGTAAAACTGTGTGTATCCAAATTAATGTGTGCCAAAGGAAGTGGTTGTTCTGCTCCGTGCTGGTGCAGCCTCACCTTGAGTACTGTGTGAAGTTCTGGGCACTACAATATATGAAAGCTATGCAACTGTTAGTGTCCAGAGTAGTGCTGCAAAGGTGACAAAGGGTCCAGAGGGCAACTATGAGGAGAAAATCTTGGTGTTGTCAGCCTGAAGGAGGAGTCTGAGTGGCTTCTACTGCGCTACTCTAATTCAGTCTGGGATCAGTGTATAAGGGCAGCTGTAGTTCTACTTAGTTGCTGTTCCTCATCTTGTATGAAGACAACTGCAAAACAGTGAGTGCTCCCTCTCAGACTGGATACTTTACTTGCCACTATTGTAACAGTATTTCAAATTTGTAATGGATAGGAAAGACTGTTTAATAGAAGGTTGTATTGTTTTTTCAGTACGTTTGGCTGTTGCTTGTAATAGAGGTTTTTAAACTTATCAATCTTGAACATCATTAAATTTAGCTGTACAGTATGGGGAAAAGTATCTTTGTTATTAAATTTGGTAATTCATCCTGAGTAGTACTAGATGCTTACCTTGTAGCCGATAAATTTAAAAATGGAGTAAGGAAACAATGCAAAATAAAGCTTTCCACACAAAGAATATTTGCAGAATACATTCATAAAGAGTTACAAATGGATTAATAATAGAGAAGCAGAAATTGGAAATTAATTGTAAGTTTCTGGGTCATGTTTCAGAAAAATCTTGTGGAGCTGCAAAGCGTCAAATGCTAAAGCAGAAGTACCAAGCTGAAGTAAAGATTGATGGATTAATTGCTGTTACTGTCCTTTAACAGTATCATAGTTGCTTATTTTCAGTAAGCTGTTTTGTAGGCTAAATAAATAGGCATTAGTGGCAATGGAAAATAATGTAGTTAAAAGCATGCACTCTCTTTAAAATATTTTCATAAAGAACAGAAGATAGCTATGCTTAACAAATAGTAGGGTAGTATAAGAAAAAAAAATCAGAATGAGAACAGCTGTGGAAGTACCTGAAAATTGCCCAAGAGGCTGAAGCAGTTGCTGAAAATGATTGATTGAATCTTGTTGAGTCAAGGTTTTACTATTGGGTGAATTTATTTTGGCCTGGGGGGCTGATAAGGTTAAGTGCAAAGTACTACAAGAAATGTGAAAATAGAAGCAGGGAACAGAGTACTTAGAAGGTGTGTTAACGGGGACAATAAGAAATGCTGGCTGTTTTCAGGGAAAAACAACAACAACAACAAAACCTCTGCTGTAATAAAAATGGCCTCACTAAGTTCCAACCTAATTCTAGATCATGGCGAATAAGAGAAGCTCATGCTGATGATACTGCTTTCAGTATGCAAAAAAATGTTTAGAGTAAATGAAATACTGGGAAGAAATCTGGAGGAATAGCATTTGATTTTCATCTTGAAGATAGTTAGCCATCTTGTTTCTTTGATGAAAAATAACTGAATAAAAAATGAAATAACAAATAAATCACTGTAAGCATCATGGACTTTGAGAACTTGCTACTCTTCATTATGTTCAGTGTCTTGAAGCATATTATGCCAACAAAAGCATCAGCAAAGTAGAGCTTTCTATGAAGATATAATACAGACATTACTAAAATAAACATTAGTGACGCAGTAGTTAAACAAAAATATCTGTGTTAAATGGGATGCAGTCTCTTCTTCAATGTCTGTTGCTTTACCTTGTGAAGAAATGTTAGAGAAAGACAGTACAAGCCTGTCATGGTGATACGGAATGGCTTGTTTTGCTAAAAAAAGTAACTTTTCTCCATGGTAGCTTGGCTCTAACATAAAAGGATTTCACGTATAGACTGACTTCTTCCAAATGCTGGCTATACTCCTTATCAAAGCAGCAGCAGAAAGTGACATTACAGTATTTCATCTGGTTTAATGTGTTACATGCTGCATGGGTTTTCTACAAATTGGAATGTCCTTTGTAGTCATGTTTAGTATATAAATATTGACTGTCCTCCTTGTTTACTTTTTATTACTATAAATGTTACATTAATGTTTCTGTTTTTAGTCACAAACAGGCCTATATGTCAAATAACAGGAGAGAATATAATAAAGGGGCAACAGTACTGGCAGAATATGTTGCTGTTTTCAGTTGGGTTAGTTAAAAGCATTAAAGCATTTCTTTCCCAGACTGCCTTCAGCAAATATGATAAAGTGGGACTTTCTATTAAACGAAGAAAAAAAGCAATTTC